AATCCGACCGGCAGCACCGCACCCAAGAGTAAAGGATGCGGTACAGATGTTTTCCAGCCACTTTTTTTTTGACCCGGTGGAAATCCTCATGGACCGCCTGGAGAGAGGGACGGGTGGTGTGTGGGACTCGCCCTCCCTGTACCCCAGGCAATTGGCGACCTGGGGCCAGCGTGCAATGGAGGGCGCCTACCGCACTAAAACCACCGGGGGTGGACTTCTCTGCGCATATCTGGGCCACCTAGGATCGTAAGGACATGACTCTTCTAGGTGGACCCGCGCCGCGCGTGACTCGCGCTCGCCTTGGCCTGACTTTTGGCCCGGCCCTTATAAGGGCCTTCTCCTACATCTGCGACGAGGGTGCCACCGGCCCCTCGCCGCTCCCCCTAGTTGCTTGTGGGGGAGGGCGGGTCGTGGGTCTCCAGCCCACGCCCGCCCACCAGGGGTCCCGCAGGACTTCCTGGTAACAGCTCCTTTTAGTCGCCTCTTACGACAGGCAGGAGATACCCCAGGTCTATTCTTACGGCGGGACCTGGACGCCTTAGCTCCCCCTTTCCTACTTGGGCAGCACCTTGGTGCTCCTTGTCCTTTCGACGGACAGCCCCCTCCTTCTTCCGATGGGGCATCCTGTGCAGAGCAAATGCTCCTTTGCTGGGATGCCTCCTACCACTTGCGCAGATGCGCCGGTGTGCCACGGGGGGCTCTTCTTCGCCGCCTTCCCCTCTGGCTTCCATTCCCTCCAGGCTGAGGGTCCGGAGGGTCGATCTCTCCCCTTCTTTCCCTCTCCGCCTGCTCTTTCTGCACCATCACCCGCTCACAGAAGAGCACAAAGGCCTCCCAGGCCTCCTCCCGCTCCACTACGGCTTTAACGACCGCCGGCAGCGAGAGGTCTCCCCTATCTCATTCGTGAGATCGCGGCGCTCTTCCTCCCACGCTGGACAACTGTCCAGCGTGTGCTGCGCCGTATCTCGCTCCTCGGTGCAATGGTGGCATCGCGGATCAGGCTCCTTCTGTATCCTATGCAAGTACTCACCGAAGCATCCATGCCCGGTGAGTACCTGCGTTGTCCTGTAGGACGTCCGTGTCCATGAATGGTCTATCCATTCGTCCAGATGAGGGAGGATGGCCTGGACCGTTCTCTTGCCCGCCTGATTTGGGTCGGCCAACCAGGTCCGCCATTCCTCCCTCACTTTCTTCTTGATGCGGAGGCTGAGGAGCCTCCTCCCCCTCTTGGGCACCGGGATCCCCCTTGCCCTTTGCTCCGCCACCTGCTCATACACTCGAGCGTGTGCGCGAGTATTCATTTCGATGGGGGGCATCCCGGCCATCAACGTGGCTGCCGCGTGGGAAATGGTCCTATATCCCCTGACCGCCCTGATTGCCATGCGGCGCTGAGTTCTGTTCAGCACCGCGATGGCTTTTTTATTCGCCGTCAGGGCGTCCGACCATACTGGGGCTCCATACAGTGCGATTGAATTAATTACGTTCGCATAGAGCCTTCTAACTTTCCCACGCGGGCCGCCCAGGTTGGGCATCAGTTGCGACAAGGCACTCGCTGCTTTGTCCAACCTGGGCGTCAGCCGGCTGAGGTGCTCCTCAAACCTCCACCTGCCGTCTACGTGGAGGCCCAGATATTTAATCTGGGCCCCCACCTGGACACGGACGTCCTCCACCCTGATCCACGATGCCGGTGGTTGCCCCAGAGAGCCGTCGTGGATAAAGACGGCCTCTGTTTTTCCTGCCGCCACCTTAAGGCCAAGGGCCCCTATTGCCCTCACCACACAATCAATGGCTACATTTGCCACATTGATCGCCTCTTCCCATCCCCTCCCACTGGCCACGACCAGAGTATCATCTGCATAGCATGTCCAGCACCCTGTCGTACGCGACGTCCCACAGGATCGGCCCCAACACCGATCCCTGTGGGACGCCGCACGTCGCCCGCCACTCCTTGCTCTCGTTCTCCCTATTTCGGCAGGTAATCCTACGCCCCTCCAGGTAGTCCCTGATTATCTTCTTTAGATAATCAGGGACCCCCATATCCTCCAGGGCTCTCCTGATCTCAACGTGGGGGGAGGGAGTTGAAGGCGTTCGCTATGTCTAAAGCTATCGCCAGCACCACTTCTCCCTCCCCCATCATATGGTCAGAGTGGGACTTTAGACACTTAATCGCATCTACTGTCGATCGTCCCTCCCTGAAACCAGGGTTG